TCTTGAGCAAAAGAAGCTCAGGGACAGTGCCAAGGCCTTGAGTTCAAGCCCCAGGACTGGCAAACAAAGGAGGGGTGGGGGGAAGACATAGATGTTACACATGGCAAACATAATTTTTCAATTGGTCTTCCCTTTTTTATAGACATTTAAATTTTTACATTGTCAAAAATATGTCTTTTAAAATAGTTTCTAGGTTTCTATTGTGACTTTTAAAAAATGGCTCTCTCCACTCTTGGAGAATTACTTTGAAAATTCATCTTCTATATCTACTTCTGGAGCCTTTCCATGTTGCATTGAAGTCCTCGATCTGTGTGGAAATTATTGTCACATACAGAAGGGACTCTCTATCTCTCCCCAGTGGCCATTACTTCCCACGGCAGGCACGGATGGACGCCCCAGCCTGCCGCCTTGGCGCTGGCCCCCAGCTCTGCCCACACAGCACCTGCCTGCCCTCATACCTCTTCTCACCGCTCCCCAGCCCCTTCCCCAGCTCCTCCCGGGATCCAGCTTCTTGATGTCACTGTTTTCCAGGATCTATATGCTGTTCTCCATTCAGGGGTGTGGAATTGTACATTTGTTCTTTTGTATCTGGCTTATTTCTCATCCTAGTGTCTTCAAGGTTTATCCACGTTCTAGCATGTGTGAGGATCCCCTCCTCTTTAAGGCTGAATGCTGTTCAGTTGTATGAATGGATGACAGTGTATTTCTGCACTCTTCTACTGGTGGGAAATACAGTCATGTCCACCTTTCCACTAAAGGCTGCCATGAACGCTGTGTGCAAGTGTTTGCTTCCAGTGGTTTAGGTTTAGGCCAAGAGGTGGGCTTGTCGGAGCTCATGATTTTTTTTGGTTTGAGTTGTGTGCGTGCGTGCGTGCGTGCGTGCGTGCGTGTGTGTGTGTGTGTGTGTGTGTGTGTGTGTGTGTGTGTGTGTGCAGGAAAGCTGGGCTCTCTTTGCTTGGTTTTCAAAGAGACTAAAGGGGCACATGCATTTACATTCTCTCCAGTCATCAAACGCAAATACTCAATTCTTCCAAATGCTAGTTCTTACAAACACAAATATTAACTGTGCATCTCCTTCCTTTTGCGTCTCTCCGCTCTCTCATAACCACTCTCCCTGATGGTTCACTCATATCTACCTAACGATATCATGTATTTCTGCCCATCTAATTAGAGATAAGGCTTGATTTGATAACAGAAGGAACATCTGTATTGATCCAAACAGCTACTTGGAGGTTTTTCCTTGCTTCTATAAATAGGTGGCAGGTCTTCAACACAGCTCACGACCCAGGCTCCTTCCCTCCTGACTCCCGCATCCCTCCCCACCCATAGCTCAGGACCCAGGTTCCTTCTCCCTGACTCCTGCATCCCCTACAGAAGGGTCAAAGACAGAAGAGGGGGCAGAGCCAGTGTGGAAGACCTTAATCGAGAAAGGGACACCTTTCTGTAGACAGGCCAGCACTCAGCCTCCGTGGCCACCCTGACTGACAGCAGACAAATAGCAGGGTCCTGTGACACAGAAACACAAGCAATGACATGAACACGGCAACATGAACATGGCAACATAATGTGAACGAGATAGGCAGAATTCCCTCTCTGGGATTTCAGCTTACATTGACCAATTAGAACTGAAGGGAAGAGCAATGAGCAGGAGGTTTCGTTGATTTGGGGTTGCTAACGCTCGATTCTTTTCCATTAGTCACGGCACGGTTTCCACAGGTCTTATTCTTGGGAGCAAACATGTTGGCCTTGAACTTGGCAATGTAATGAGCAGTGGCTGAACCCATGAACTATTGAGTCACACACATGCTTGGGTGTGTATGTGTGTGTGCACGCGTGCACATACATACACACACACACACACACACACACACCCTCTCTTTGATGTTGGCATCATTTGACATAACCTGTTTATCTGCTGTCTAGAACCCTACTGGTAGTAGCCTGCTTTGGTCATAAGGGGCTTCAGGTCTTTAGTAAACCTTGTGGTGGAGAAGGCTAGAGTAGTCAATCTGACAAACCCTCTTCTTCCACCTCAGGACTGGGCGGGGCCCAGCGCCTGGGGTAGCTGCCCAGTCGGCCTACCAGCAATCAAGACCATAATATGCTCCAGGCCTCCTGGGCGACACAGCTTTTCCAGCTGGCAGAGCTCCATCCAGTCATTATTCCACATGGAATCCTATTTAGACACCATGCAAAGCAAAATTAGCAGCAAGCGGTCAGATATGATCTAAAATTTAGGACCGAAAGCATTCCCGCAGGGAAGGCTGCTGGTAAACAGAGGAGGAGCCCTCCACCCTCATCCCCATCCCTCCTCCACCCCTCTCCTGGCGGCCTCTCTTCCACCCCCACCCAGGCAGCTGTTTTAAGAGGTAAAATGAGCATATTTCCTCATTTACAATTGAAGGGCCATTGAGAGCAATGATGTAAAAGTCAAAGCTATCACAGCACACAGCAGGCTCTGCGGGTCCCTTGCTCGCTCTTCCTTGGACTGAAAACATCAAAACAGGTTTATGCAATCAATCTGCAAGACAACTAAGCAGCTCCAGGCAAAGCTGGTCCACACATTAAGATGGCACCACTCCAGTCCCATCCCCGGCTACTTCCTTACTCCCACCAGATCTCAGTTGTCCTTTAACCATGGAAAAAGCATCTATTCCTGAAGAGGCAACACAGCTACCACGGCCCGGAATGAAAGCCGGGAGGGAGACATGGCTTATAAAACTTTTAGAGGCTCTGAAATTATTGGCTACATAAATAATTTTATACAGTGGTTGACACGCATGTAACAGCAGGTTCCAAAATCGCCTGCCCTCAGAATCAGACTTTTCCTAATACATCATTAGCTAATACATTCTGCATGAGGACCACCAGAAAGAAAATAACCGCACTCCAAACTACAGATGCTAAATGCTGAGGCAGAAACCCAACCAAATGTGTGAATACACACACGGGGGGAGAGAGAGAGGGAACATTTCTCCACACTTCTTTTATAACCTTGGCATTGAGTCAAACCATGAGGGTACAGCGCATGCATACTAACAAAAGCAAGAACACTTTCTAAGCTCTGTAATTTGACCAGAGAGGGAAGTTCTGGCTCAAAATTCTTGCTCTAAAATAGAACAATAAGGAAATAATTTATTATAATCAGATCTGAGTCACGTGTCTCTTGCAGACACGGCTGTGGGTTTGCTTAACCTTACAACAATGGTGATTGTGTGTGGAGAGATGGGCAGGTAGTGAGCAATCGGAGGCTCAGCGGGTTTGAATGCCAGGGTCTAACCAAACTTGATGACTTCAATAACAAGCGTCTATGATCTCACAGTCCTGACAGGAGGCTGGAAGCCGGGTTGGGGTGCCAGCAGGGCTGGTTTCTGGCTAGCCTGCCCTTGTCGATGGAGCTTTGTCAGCGTGCCCATGTGAGGCCTCCTCTCCCACACATCCTCGCCGTCTCTTCCCCGGCTCATAAGGACACAGGCCTGTTACATTAGGAGCCCCGCTCCTTCTACCTGTAGTCCTTTCCTTAAGGATTCCATCCTCAATAGCTAAGATATGGAACCAACCGAGATGCCCCTCAGGAGATGAATGGATCAAGAAAATGTGGTATATATACACAATGGAATTCTATGCCTCCATCAGAAAGAATGACATTGCCCCATTTGCTAGGAAATGGAAAAACTTGGAAAAAATTATATTAAGTGAAGTAAGCCAGGCCCAAAGAAACATAGGTCCCATGGTTTCCCTTATTTGCAATATCTAGTATATGTCTGGGACAAGCAGAAAAGGTCAAAAGCTACATTCATATGACCACATAAGATGATGTTAAGTGAAATGAACCCAAGAGAGGGACACAAGTGGTTTTTTTCTTTCTTGTTATAGTTTTTAACATATTTATAATGTACCATGTGATTTTTTTTGTTTCTTTGGAATGTTCCTCGCCCATGGTATAACCCCTGTTTTCACTGTATTTGATTCCAGTGCCCTCCATCTTGTATATACATTTTTCTGATTTGGGGAGGGGAAGGGAAATAACTTTTTTATAAAGTAAAAATTTTAAAAATTGGGCGGGGCTGGGCGCTGGTGGCTCACACCTGTAATCCTAGCTACTCAGGAGGCTGAGATCTGAGGATCGCGGTTCAAAGCCAGCCGGGGCAGGAGAGACCGTGAGACTCCTATCTCCAATAAACCACCAGAAAACCGGAAGTGGCGCTGTAACTCAAGTGGTAGAGCGCTCGCCTTGAGCTGAAGAGCTGAGGGACAGCGCCCAGGCCCAGAGTTCAAGCCCCACGACCAACAAAAAAAAAAAAATTGGGTGGGGAAGGTGGCTCAGTGGTAGAGCGCTTGCCTTGCATGCTCAAGGCCCTGGGTTCGATTCCTCAGCACCACATAAGCAAAAAAGAAAAAAGCCGGAAGTGGCGCTGTGGCTCAAGTGATAGAGTGCTAGCCTTGAGCTGAAGAGCTGAGGGACAGTGCCCAGGCCCAGAGTTCAGGCCCCATGACCAACCAAAAGGAAAAAAAGAATTAAAAAAATTAAAAGTTGAAAATAAAGATTCCATCCTCACATTATTCACAATCAGACCTGAAGCTTCACCCCACGGTCCAGGTTCTGGGACTCACGATTCAGTTTCAGGGGGCCCACACTTGCTAAGCAGTAGAAGCCCACCTGTCTGAATCCCAAGCTGACTTCTTGAAAGAGCTGGCTGCCTCTCCCTGTCTCAGACGGAGGAAGAGACACCCCACCCCACCCCCTACAGCAGGCACAGTGACACCTGGCAGGGAGATGAGGGCTCTGTAAGAAGCTCCATCCTGGCGGGCCGGCTGGCAGAGGACCCGGACAAGCCAGCTCACGGCACACAGAGGCCCAATGGCCACGCCAGAGGCCCATCCCAAGCTACACTAACGCCGTTCACTATGAGGCTCGCACAGGTCTGTTATCTGTAGAGAGACAGCATTTCATTAAGTTCTTTCTTTCTGTCTGTCTGTCTTTGAACCACCAGCTAACGTCCTGGAGGGCGACTCAATGGACCAGGACGTGGAGAGTCCAGTGGCCATTCACCAGCCAAAGCTGCCGAAGCAGGCCCGAGACGACCTCCCAAGACACATCAGCCGGGACCGGACCAAAAGGAAAATCCAAAGATACGTGAGGAAGGACGGGAAATGCAACGTCCACCACGGCAACGTGCGGGAGACCTACCGCTACCTGACCGACATCTTCACCACGCTGGTGGACCTCAAGTGGAGGTTCAACCTGCTCATCTTCGTCATGGTTTACACGGTGACGTGGCTGTTCTTTGGCATGATCTGGTGGCTCATTGCCTACATCCGTGGAGACATGGACCACATAGAAGACCCCGCGTGGACTCCCTGCGTCACCAACCTCAACGGCTTCGTCTCCGCCTTTCTGTTCTCCATCGAGACGGAAACCACCATCGGCTACGGCTACCGGGTGATCACAGATAAGTGCCCGGAGGGAATTATTCTCCTCTTAATCCAGTCTGTGCTGGGCTCCATCGTGAACGCGTTCATGGTGGGATGCATGTTTGTGAAAATATCTCAGCCCAAGAAGAGGGCAGAGACGCTGGTGTTTTCCACCCACGCGGTCATCTCCATGCGGGACGGGAAGCTGTGCCTGATGTTCCGAGTGGGAGACCTCCGGAACTCCCACATCGTGGAGGCCTCCATCCGGGCCAAGCTCATCAAGTCCAAGCAGACTTCAGAGGGGGAGTTCATCCCCCTGAACCAGACGGACATCAACGTGGGCTACTACACAGGCGACGACCGGCTGTTTCTGGTGTCACCGCTGATCATTAGCCACGAAATTAACCAACAGAGTCCTTTCTGGGAGATCTCCAAAGCTCAGCTGCCTAAAGAGGAACTGGAAATTGTGGTCATCCTAGAAGGAATGGTGGAAGCCACAGGTAAGACGGCTGCTCCCTGGGTGATCTGTGGGATGGGTGCTCCGTCCACTGCTCCCTGGGTGATCTGTGGGATGGGGGCTCCGTCCACTGCTCCCTGGGTGATCTGTGGGATGGGTGCTCGCTCAGTCCACTGCTCCCTGGGTGATCTGTGGGATGGGGGCTCCGTCCACTGGGCCATATCATACTGAGCCTTGCTCACCATTGACCAGTCACTTCTTCCGTGAAATTAGATGCTTCTGTGTCCATTAAGTTCAAGTATATTCCTTAAGAATACAGTGTGTGTGCGTGTGTGCGTGTGAACCTGTGTACACGCTTGTGTTAATGACAGTACTGGGGCTTGGGCCCTGTCCTGTAGCTTCTTCAACTCAAAGCTGGCACTCTACCACTTGAGCAACACCTCCACTTCTGGTTGTTTGGGTTGTTAATGACAGATCGTCTCATGATCTTTCCTGCCCAGGCTGACTTTGAACTGTAGTCTTCAGATCTCAGCTTCTCAAGGAGCTAGAATTATAGGTGTGAGCCACCAGTACCTGGCTCTCTTCCCATTTTTAAAGCCCTTTAGAAAATATTAACAAGCATGACAAAAACTACTGCTGGGATATTTTAAATTTCCAGATATTAAGTTAAAATCCGATCTGTCTCTTAACATGTTTTTAAAATAGCTTTAAAATGTGGCTCATTGAAATGCTTACATTATTTATTACTAAACCAAAGGGAAGAAATTAAGCCATTCCAAAGTAGGGAGGGAAATGGGCCTGAAAAACAGTTTTAATAAAAATGTATTTTCACCCCCCTCTCAGGGTGCATTTGTTAGACACCAGAGTTAGTTTTCCTTTTGTATCCAGAGCAGTCTCTCTGCACTCTACCTGCAAACCCTAGCAGACATTGTACCGCGGACTGAGCGACAAACACCAGCATAAAAGCAAAGGACTTGAAGAGCCACCCATCCATTCATGGCAGTCCTATTGATCTTTCTACTACTTGCACTAATCATGGCTGCGTTTGAGTGGAGGTGATCTGTTCTCTAAACAGAAAGCACTCTCTGTTTCCTCTGAAGTCTCCTCTGGCATCTTCATACAGGCTGCACCTCCCAAGAGCCAAGAACATCCTGCCTGTAATTGTCCGTAAACATCCCACACAATAGAGCCATGAGCCCTGAACCCCAGTGCTGACAGCAGTAGCTCCCAGGAAGAATGTAAAGTAAAATGCCAGTTCATCCAGAACTCACTGCTTTGAGCCCCAGCGTGTCCCCCTTCACACACGACCTGTCCTTCTGGGTTTCTAAGTCTTCACCTTGAGTTGCTGGGTTGTTTGACTGTTTCTGGATATGCCCACTCAGCCCTGAGCAGGCACGGTTCTCCATCAACCTCTTGACAATAGACGCAGTCTAGTTGCCCTGAACATCCAACTTCCATTCCCCAGGCCCCTGCAAGAAAGCGGTCATGTCCTCTGCCACACTGTCCCAGAATTTTGTAATTTTTTTCTTTTGTCAGTCACAGGACTTGAACTCTGTGCCTGGGCGCTGTCCCTCAGCTCTTTAGCTCAAGGTGAGCGCTCTACCGCTTGAGCCACAGCACCACTTCTGGTTTTCTGCTGGTTAACTGGAAATAAGAGTCTCATGGACTTCCCTGCCCAGGCTAGCTTTGAACTTCAGTCCTCAGACCTCAGCCTCCTGAGTACCTAGGATGAATAGCTAGCGTGGGCCACTGGCCCCTGGCTACAATACATTTTTTTCAAGTGCAGCAAATACTGAAAACACGAAACATGAGTAAAGCTTGTGCACGGTGCTTGCGAATCCAGTGCTGTCCTTCCACAGAGCACTAAGAACACAGACCGAATCTAAACAGCCCTCCACACGGCAGCCCATCTGCAGCGCCAACCACCGGTAGGCCTCTAACATAACATCCTTGAATAGAATCTTCATTACCAGGGACTGGCCTACTGTTCCCTAAACAGGCAGTGGCTCAGTTCTTCATCCACCTCTGTGCAGTGCTTACAGAGGGATAAGGGGTCAGTATATATTTATCCTACCCTGCACTGTGTGCTTAAGTTGTGGAAAATGAGCCGCAGAAATTGGCATCAGGCAGTAATAGGTCAAGACTGTGCGATGAGAAAACTCTTCCCGGCTCGAACCCACACGCCCCTCTTATTTAAAGATCTTTCCCTGTGTTTTGAACTGTAACTGTGATGAAATACTAAACAATAGCTCTATACCTTCCACCCGGGGTTTGTTTTGTTTTGTTTTGTTTTATGCTCTCCCCAGGCAATGGGTGGGGTTGGGAGCCAGGAGAAAAGAGAAGAAGGAAAGGAGAGAGAAGAAGCGAGATGCTGGGCTGGGAAGGTGGCTCAGTGGTAGAGCGCTTGCCTTGCCTGCTCGAGGCCCTGGGTTCGATTCCTCAGCACCACATAAGAAAAAAGCCGGAAGTGATGCTGTGGCTCAAGTGGTAGAGTGCTAGCCTTGAGCTGAAGATGAAAGAGAAGAAAGAAAGAAAGAGAGAGAGAAAAGAGAAAGGAGCGGTGATGTAAAGTAGCAGGGAAGAAAGGAAGAGGGAGGAAGAAGAACGGAGAGAAGTAAGAAGGATGGAGAGGAAAGGGGAAGAGGAGGCAAGGAAGGAGGGAAAGAGAATAAGAAGGGAGATGTGAGAGGAAAGGAGGGGAAGGGGAGGAGGAGGGAGAGATGAGGGCCAGGGCGAGGGGGCGGGGAAGGAATTCTCTTGAAGCCGGGAATGCGGTGGCTTTCCCCACCTCGTGAGCACAGGGACTCTGGCACCCCCTCGTGGTATCCTGAAGTGTTGCAGCTCAGGCAGCATCAGCTGACCACTCGTGATTGCAATCCTCAGACTCCCAGGCTCCTGTTAGGACCAGAGGGACAGCTGTGGACGGATCTCACCACCATTGTGTCTCTGGCCTCTGATTCCTGGGGTGACCCCACTTCACATGCAAGACCCCAGCTTTGCACTCCCTCACAGAACGCCCAGCCTGGGGGGGGGGGGCGGGGGGGGAGGAAAATTTGGAGTAAGCAAATTTAATTTCCAGAGTCTTAATTCTCCCTGGGGCAGAAATGTCTCTCTGATGAAAGCTCATGACCGGTGAGACTATCCAACGGGAGAGACATTGTTTTCTTGGTAATCCGCAGTGATCCTTGCCTCTAAGTCTGGGCAGTTGCCAACAGGAAGAATAAAAATGCTCACCTCTGTGCCTCAGAAAAGGAAATCATTCCTCATTTTACTTAAAAACAGGATGCATTCTAATTTCTGAAAAAGTAGAGGAGGAGGGCTATTCTAGAAAGTTCTGGAAGAATCTGGAAACCGGACATGTCTTGTCCTTTCCTTATAATAACAGTTCAGTACAATTCCATGCCTTGGTATAACTCATCCCTTAGGCTTCAGAGGGATATTTCTTTGTGAATGAAAACCACAAATGGGATTTACAGGCATTAAACAGGCTCTTGGGGAGAAGGAAAAGAATGTTTACTGTATCAAAGCCACAAGAAAAACAAATACAGGGCAAAGGCATGATGAGAACTAATTCACAAGGATCTAATTATTCATGCCCGTGCAGGGCTGGAAATCAGAAACCATGAAAACCAAGTAAATGGCCCCCTCGACACATTGCTTCTCTCAGGCTAGACACTGACCTTGAACATCTGGTCAGGCATCTGGATTAGCCCTCATCCTGACTCAATACACCTCCCTGTCATGGGCACCCGGGGCCCACAGCAACCTGGACAGGCTTTGTCTGGAGTCCTGTACGACCTCACAGAAGTCTGCCCACCTGTGTCTTGGATCTGCTGGGAGCTTACTAGAAGAGTAGAGAGATGGCCGTATTACATACAGGGCTTGTGATATGGCAACCCCACCTGCACCGTGTGGCTGACTACCACCTCCAGTAGAACATGAGCCCCTAGGAGGGAGGAGGACAGGGGCCTAGACCTCCTTGATGTCCCCTGAAGGACAGACAGACTCACACACACACACACACACACACACACACACACACACACACGGGACAGACCCACGTTCTCCGGATAGCATCAGCCTAGTCCCGCCTAAGTCAAAGGGACAATCGAGGTGACCTCTCAAGAACTTTCCAGTCATGTGATTCTATTTTTGAAAACGAATCAAACCCTGGAAAATTCTGACACCAGCCACCCAGACGCTGCGGAGTTGGCCACGTCTCCTCTGCAAATAGACTTTTAAAGGGGGCCCTTTGTGCTCCCGACACATGGGCAATCTGGAGCTGGTTGATGTTTACAGAAGGCTTCGTAGCTATGTAAACAAACGTGCACCGCAGCTGTGGCGAAGGCACGTTAAAATAGTAGAGCATGCATATAGACGGGTATTTATAGAGGGCAAGTGGGCCTCGGGCGCATGGCACCCGCCCAGCGCCGGGCACGCTGCCAGCCTGCTCCTCGCTGTAGCCTTCCCAGCCAGCCTCCATTTGTCACCCCCCCCCCCCGAGATGATGTGGCTATGACCGGCCCCAGCACTGAGCCTCAGGGGCATGGAACCTTTGGGGTGCCCTTAACTCCTTATGAGATGTATACAATTTAGACGGAAACAGCAGATAGAACCATTAACCCCTGACCACCTGCCATTCGCGCCTCACAACTGTCACTTCAGGACCAAAGTCGTCCATACCTTACTAACTTTCCCCCACATCCCAGCATTCCACCTGCACACGTCTAAGTACCTGTCTCCAAAAGATAAGTCCTTTTATAAAGTACTCTGATTCAGTTATGCCAGCTAAAATAATTAACAGTGATTTCTTAAGATCCAATAGCTATTCAGTGTTCAAGCTGCCAATTACCTCATAAATGTCATCCATTTTTGTTTGTTTGGATTTACAGTCTGCATAATTGTATGAATAAGCTCTGTTGGCCAGGCGCTGGTGACTCAATCATCAATCCTAACTACTCAGGAAACAGAAATCTACGGATCATGGTTCAAAGCTAGACCAAGCAGGAAAATCTGTGAGACTCTTTATCTCCAGTTAATCAC